ACCAGTTTGTTGGGGTGAGGTCGGACACAGGATGATGGGATGGACGGAAATAGTCCTGCAGACTACCGAGAAAATTCAGCAGATTAGGCAGCGATTGCAGACCGCTCAGAGTCGACAGAAGAGTTATGTCGATAGACGTTGATCTGAGTTAGAGTTTCAGGTGGGGGATATGGTTCTCCTAAAGGTCTCACCCTGGAAGCGTTTGATTCGCTTCAGGAGGAAGGGGAAATTGGGTCCCCGTTACATTGGGCCGTTCAGGATCATTGCCAGGGTTGGCAAGGTGGCTTACAGGTTAGAGCTGCCGGAAGAGCTTAGTCGGATCCATAATACTTTCCATGTTTCCCAGCTGCGAAAGTGCATCATGGATCAGGAGGCGGTAGTATCACTGGATGATGTTCATGTCGATGAGTGCCTGAATTACGTGGAGAGGCCTGTAGCCATTTTGGAGAAGAAGAAGAAGATTTTGCAGAACAAAGAAATACCTTTGGTGAAGGTGCAGTGGGAGCATCGGAGGGGGTCCGAATGAACATGGGAGCCGGAGGTGGAGATGCGCGAGCATTACCCGGAGTTATTCACTGCAGCGGACTTCGAGGATGAAGTGTAGTTCAAGTAGGGGAGAATTGTAACGCCCGAATTCTCAGGTATGGAATTAAATGAAATTTTATTTGGTTGAAAGATCTACTCGACAAGTTGGTTGCCCTACTCGTCGAGTAGCAGCAAGGTGGGATCGCGCATTTAGTGGTCTACTCGTCGAGACCATCAAGGGACTTGACGAGTAGGAGCTGGCAGATGAAACCCTAAATTTCGGGGTATTTCACCCTATTTAAAGGATCATTGGCCTTCCCCATCCTCCTCTTCACTGCTTCTTGTCCCTCTAAAGCCCTAATCGTGTGTGTGTGTGTGTGTGTGCTCATTTTGTGCATTCTTAAGCTTGGAGGAGGATTTTCTTGGAGAAAAGAGCTTAGAGATCAAGCATTCAGAAGCAAGGAGCTTAAAGGATCTGAAATCTATTGTATTTAGCATCTTCTGGAAGGTATAAATCGTTACCCTAACCTCATTCATTCTAGATCCCCTCTTTGGACATATTCTAGGGTTTTCATAGTATGATTGGAAGCTATTCTTCATTGCAATCTTAGATCTGAAGTTGTAACTTCAGAACTGATCTCCTTTGGGCTTCTTAGTACCTAAAGTTTCCAGCTTGTGCAAGAATGAGACTCTCCCAAGGTGTAAAGCTCCAGTGGAAGCATAGATTGGTCATTTAGGGCCTTTAGAACCTTGCATGTGCGTAAAGTTTGCAACTTTACGTGATAAACATGCCTTAGAAGATTGGATCTGTAATCTGGAGCTTTGTTATGGCTTAAAAAGCATCTGCATGGATGAAGGTCTGCGAGGACTCGGCGAGTTGGATGAACAACTCAACGAGCCCGATGAAGATGGCCATGAACTCGACGAGTTGGATGAACAACTCGGCGAGTCCGTTGAAGTTTGCCTTGAACTCAGCGAGTCGTTAGAAAACTCAGTGAGTCGACTAGGGTTCTCCCGATTCTTGGGCACGTATAAGCTCGAGGAGTTAAGGGAGAACTCGACGAGCCAATCAAGGATTTCACGACTTCTCGAGTCCAGGAAGGACTCGACGAGTCGGTGATTTGCACTCGACGAGTCGGTGATTTGCACTCGACGAGTCGAGTCAACATGGACTGTTGACTTTGACTGTGGACGTTAACTTTAACCAAGAGTTGACCAGTTGACGTCTGAGGGTATTCTAGTAATTTGGAGACTTGTGAAAAAGGGTTTTATGGTATTTATAGGTAGTGAAGTTCATGTTGGCGATCTGGGAGTTGAAGTTTTCTAGTTTCTGACGTCAATTACGAGGTGAGTTCTCCTCACTATATCAACAGAGTCTAAGGCACCAATGTCGACCCTTATTGGATTGGTATTCGGGTTTATTGCATGTTATGCTTATTGATTTACATCTTGGTAGTTAGGATGGTGATATGCTTAGTGACCTGGTTAGGTCGATATCCTGGAATATAGGATGATGCTATGTTAGTGACCGGTTAGGTCGGTATCCTGGTTATAGGATGTTGCTATGCTATTTGATTTGTAGGATCGGTTGACTGTTATATATGCTAGAATACGATATGTATGTGCACATGTTTATTTGATTGGGGGTTGGGTTGAGGCGGTCTTGCTTTGTGCTGAAGGCCAACATACCCAGGGCAGTCCGGATAAACTACAGACCCCGAGGGGTATGTTAGTCAGACGAAGGTCCGACGAGCGGTCCGGATAGGCTGAAGTCCCAGCAAGGCGGTCCAGTCGTGCCGAAGGCTCGAAGAGCGGTCCAGATAGACTGAAGGCCTGTGAGGCGGTCCAGTCAGGCTGAAGGCTCATCGTGCATGTTATTTTGTATTTGTTGTTATGATATAAGTATGGTTTTATGAGGTTGGTATTTTAGGGGAATTCACTAAGCTCTGGGCTTACAGTTTCAGTTTATTGTTTTAGGTACATCATGGGATTGCGGCAAGGTGAAGGCATGATCATACAGCTCCTAATGTTTTATCTATGTTTCTGGGAAAAACTCTGATATTAAACATTTGAAAACAAAGTTGTAATGAATTTTTTTATGGTTTGAAATGTTTTAAAAATTTTAAATTGGTTGAATTTTTGGGTGTTACATTAACACAACTTTTGATATGATAGAACAAATTAAACTAAATCCAAATGGGAGGTAACATGTTTGTCCCTTTGATACACTTTTTGGTCAATCTCTTTTATCCTTTTGTTGCACTCTGTTAGCAAGAGTTCTGCCATCTTCTAATTGGTTTCAAGAAAAAATTAATCTCTATTGGAACATTGCCCACACAATCTTCACCACCCTCCACCAAATCCTAATAGTATAAACAAACACCAACTTTTAATACCACTATTGTAAAAATCCCGACTAGGTCCCGATTAATCTTCGATTAATCCATCGGCGCTACTCGGCCGATTAGAGGGCGCCTAGCGATTAATCCCTACATACATAATGAGCGAAACATTATAAAACAATGAAAATTTAACATTTTAAAGAAGTTTTATTTGAATGAAAACTATTTGAGGCATGATTAGTGTTGTAATAATCATATTAACCTATTTTGTTATCATATTAGTGGTATTTACGAACTTTGATATCATATTAGTCATATTTATTTTTAAATTCAACAAATTAGCAATTAATGGTACCCGATTAATCTCCGCCTAGCGGATTAATCTTTTGGCCCCAATCAACCGACTAGCTAACGTCAAACATTTTTTGCAACCTTGGTTAATATTCAATAATCTACAATATTTTTATACATTTGGCTTATCACAAACAAGCACTTAAGAAGAATAACTACTATCAAAGAACCCAATTTAGAGACAGAAACAAGAAACCTCTTTTCTCATTGTATTATCTAACAACATATCCTTAGATGCATCATCAAGTCACTCAATGCATTTAGGAGATGAGAAGATTTAAATGATGAATCTTCATCATCATCATCATCCTAACAGGATAATTGGTTGATACGTTATATTTATAATGGAGTCTATATATTTCATTCTAATAACCAATTATTTTCATCGAAACTAATATATAAAGAAAGAAATCGAAATCAATGTATTATGGAAGAATCAACATCATGATCAGAACTCAAAACCCATAGCAAAACAGAGGTAAGAGTTGTTTAATTATAACTCACAAACGGTTTAATTTCATAGTACCTTGCGTGATCTGTGTTCAAAATTGGGGCAAATTCATGAACTATAAAGCTCCAAACAAATAGAAAGAGAATTTAAGTGAATCCGAAAAGCTGAGAGAAATAAAGGGAGAAAATCATGAAGGTGGAAGAAACTGAATTGCATAAACAAAAGAATGATTGCTTACCATCGAACTTGGTGAGATCGTTAATTGCTAGATGGTGATAGCGAGAACAGGAGCAAGAGAGAGTCTTGCTCAAATTTCGATTTTAGATGAAGAAGCTACGAGAAAAAATCAACAATTAAACAATCAAGGATGATGACGATGGGGCTAAAGGATGGAAACGGTGACGACCGGACTGAAGGATGGCGGCGATGGCGATGGGACTGGAGGAGGGTGGCGATGGGGGAGAAGACCGGAGGTGATAGGAATCGAAGTTGAAGAAGGAGACATCATTGTGTTTTTTTAGAGGGGCGATATGGTCGGTAGGGGCAAGAAGAAGAGAAAGCGTGCTTTTGAAATGAGAACTGGTAGCGGTGGAAGGAAATCGATTGAAGGAGATGGAGATGGAGAGCATGCTTCAAGGGCAAGGGCAAAAGTCATCCATTTTTTTCACTCAGCCTCTTTTTCCACCGAATCGAATCAAAGCACCATGGACAGATTGTGGACCAAGTAAGCTGCATAATAGATGGTAGCAAACATACTGATCGAACCGGGTCAGTCAAAATGTCTGATCAGACCGGGTCATCAAGAAATCAAACAACCCCTTTTCAAACACATATATCTCATGGTAGTCTTTACCATTATTTATTAAAATAAAAAAAATCAATGAAATCTAACAAGTGGATTAAATGATTATTAATTTCATTAAATGTCTAATTAAATGTGATACATGTCAATATTTGATATTTGATATGGTAAGAGGAAAAATATGATCAATTAGTAGGAGGAATTTCTCCTTATATAATTATAATTAGTTTCTTTCTTTGTTAACGTCACTAACTAAATAAATTTGATCAACACGATTGTTTCTTCTTCTTATTGTTACCAATAATGATGAAATAGTTAGTTACATTATTTCTCAAGCAGATATATACATCTAATTAAATTTATTGCTCATGATATATATGCCCAACATGCCAATAACAACATCTAAGTCAACATTCACATTATTAAATTGTCATTTAATATTTCATTAAATACGTGAACCGTGAGGGCACGGGAGATTTTGGTTCCTACTTTCGTACCACAAACTTCTTCTCTCCGGCCTTATCGTATCATGGACCATGATATCAAATCGGAAAAACCAACCTCGCCGTTAACCACCGACCACATTCCACCGTCCTCCACCGGAATCCTCCCCTTAACCAACCCTTCAACCACCACCTCCGCCACCACCCACAAAAAACTAACTCTCATCCCACTCATCTTCTTAATCTACTTCGAAGTTGCCGGAGGTCCTTACGGCGAAGAACCAGCAGTTCAGGCGGCCGGCCCACTCTTCGCCATCATCGGATTCCTGGTCTTCCCGTTCATATGGAGTATCCCGGAAGCTCTTGTCACCGCCGAACTCTCCACCACTTTTCCCGGCAACGGTGGTTTTGTCATATGGGCGTATAAAGCATTCGGTCCCTTCTGTGGGTCCTTAATGGGTACATGGAAATTTCTCACCGGTGTCATCAACATCGCAGCATTTCCGATTCTATGCATCGACTACATGGAAAAGCTATTTCCGATCTTCTCCTCCGGCTTACCTCGAACTCTAGCAATCTTGTTTTCCACCCTCTTCCTCTCTTTCGTCAACTACACCGGTCTGAATATCGTCGGTATCGCCGCCATCACTCTCGGAGTCATCTCTCTTCTCCCCTTCATCCTCATGTCACTCATCGCCATCCCTCAAATCCAGCCACACAGGTGGCTAAGTTTAGGCCAAAAGGGTGTCAAAAAAGACTGGAACTTGTTCTTCAATACCCTTTTCTGGAACTTAAACTTCTGGGACACCGTGAGTACGATGGCCGGTGAAGTCGAAAACCCAAAAAAGACTTTCCCCGCAGCACTCTTCTCCGCCGTGATCTTGACTTGTTTAGCGTATATAATCCCTCTCATGGCGGTCACCGGAGCTGTTTCGGTAGACCAAAGTGAATGGGAATCCGGGTTCATGGCAGTGGCGGCAGAGATGATCTCAGGGAAGTGGTTAAAGATTTGGGTCGAAATCGGAGCTGTGTTATCAGCTATAGGTTTATTCGAAGCTCAGTTAAGCAGTTGTTCTTATCAACTTCTGGGCATGGCGGATTTAGGTTTTTTACCAAAGTTTTTCGGCGTCCGATCAAAATGGTTCGGCACTCCATGGGTTGGAATCTTGTTATCAACTGCGATCACAATCGCCGTTTCTCCGATGGATTTCACTGATATAGTAGCTTCTGCAAACTTCATCTACAGTCTAGGGATGTTGTTGGAGTTTGCATCGTTTATATGGTTAAGAAGAAAGTTTCCGGCGCTGAAACGGCCGTACAAGGTGCCGCTAGGGGTTCCGGGACTGGTGGTGATGTGCCTTGTTCCGTCGGCTTTCTTGATCGTGATCATGGTTATTGCTACCAAGATTGTGTATTTGGTTAGCGGGTTAATGACTGTAGGTGCTATTTTCTGGTATTTTTTGATGAATTATTGTAAGTCAAAGAAGTGGTTTGCATTTGCAAATGGCGATGAAATTGAAGGTGAGGAAGAAGTGTCGGCATCTTGACAAAGAAGTTGTGATATGGATTTGTGATGAATACAAATTTGTATATCTTGGAATTTGGCTCCATTACTATGAAACTTAGGTGGGGTATGTTTTGTGGTGAATTGGACTAGCTGATGTTGGCAAAATGTCAATTAGATTTCAAGTGATTGGTGGTCTTGTCAAGTTAAGTGTGGCTTACCATTACTCTTTATTTTTATTATGTACTAATTTTAGTTCACGTGTTTAGATGATAATCACAAAAATATCCAAATGTTCTAAAAAAACCCTAACCTTTTTTTTTTTTCAAAACTTATAATATTTGATAAGCTTTTAAAAGAAAAACAGTTCAAAATATCAAATCCAAAAAAAAAAAAAAAAAAAGAACAAATACAAGATTAGGAAATAAAATAAACTTTATGTTTAATCCGAAAATAATATAATATATAAACAAAATTGTATAAATGATTTATATGTTTGTCAAAAGTGGTCCAAATTTGAATATTTAATGCGTTTTTGGTGTATATTAGCTTGAAAAGTTTATTGTATTCTTTATATTAGTTTTTTTTTTTAATTTTTTATTTAAATTAATATTTTTAATTAATTAGAAATAGAATAAGAGCCTCTCTCTCTCTCTCTCTCTCTCTCTCTCTCTCTCTCTCTCTCTCTCTCTCTCTCTCTCTCTCTCTCTCTCTCTCTCTCTCTCTCTCTCTCTCTCACACACACACACACAATCAAAAGCACGCATACCCTCTCAAGAACTCCTACACACTCTCAATAACACCCACACAAAAATGAAAACAATAATAAAAAAATTAAAAATAAATAAAAAGAATTATCAACGGGCATATTCATCATTTTAGGTGGGATTTGGACCAAAAACACACAAAAATGGTAACCATAGGGACCAAAACGATAGAAGGTATCTAAAATTGGATCATTGGTGCATCACCAAAAAAAATTTGGATGAAAACTATTGAATTTTGCCAACCATATGGGCCATTTCTACAATTTATGATGGATTGGGTATCTAAACTCATAACTATAATTTATATAAACTTGAAATGATGGTGGCATAGTTCTTTTGGGTTGCCCCCAAACCTAATTATTGAATATGATAGCTTTTAGAGAGAGAAATTGATTTATTAATTTATTACATGCTTAATAAATTAATTAGAAATCAAAATAAATAATTTGTTAATATATTACGAGAATAATATATTATTTAGAAATAGTAATATTTAATTAATAATTAATCAGAAGTTAATTGGGATTAATTGGATTAATTAAAAGTAGGAGGACTAAAGGTGACAACGTTCAATAGTTGAACATTCACAAATTCTAGAACCTCCCATAAGAGGGGGGGGGGGGGGGGGTTCTAAAAGTGGTTCTAGGGTTTTTCCTTGGGCATTAAGGAGCCTTGTATGCCTAACATAGGAAGAAAATGGATTAAGGCTTATCTTAGGAAAGGGTTAGTGCTGGAATTTCCACCTCTACTCCACTCTCTACAGTTTTTCTCTTGCTAGTTTGGGTGTGATTTCATTAGAGGCACGTCACTTGTGGTGCTTGCTTCCAAATGATCAACAACAAGGTTTCTTTGTTGTTTACAACAATAACAATCAAGGTATATAATCCTTAACACTATTTTGGTATTTTCGAAAATAACCTACTATTCTTAGGGGTTTACTTTGATGTTCATAGTTATAGTTTCAATAGAAAAAACATAGATCCATATTAGGATTGTATGCACACTTAAGAGTTTGAGTTTATTTATTTTGCATCAAACCCATCAATGGTATCAGATCATTAAGTTTGTTTTCAATTGAATTTTCAATAATTGTTGAATTGATCAAATTAAGGGTTTATGTCACACCCCCGAACCGAACGGCAGAAACGTCCGAGGGCTATTGTGACTTAATTGAATATCATCACAATGATTATACATGAATCATAACATCATTCATCACCATGCATTGAAATATTACAACTGATATTGTTTACATTAGGTACATTGTTTTAAACATTACAAATCCGTAACATAAACCGTTCGATAATAAATTTAAGCAAAACACCATGACATCACTTGGTACTTATTCTTCGGTTTACCTGTTGCCTGAGAATACAAGTATTTTGGAAAAACGTCAACATATGAAATGTTGATGAGTTCATAAGTAATGTTGTGAAAAATGATTTCTGTGAAGTTTGAAAAACCCAGAAAATCCAATATTTTCTTAAAAGAGTATTGTTTATAAAAAAAATGTGAAGATCCGTAAGCATGCTTGTCAATTTTTGTAAACATGTATAATTGTTGAACTTTGTATACATCACATAAGTAAAAGTGTTGAACTCCCCGGGAAAACCCGATGTTTTCCCAATACATAAAATTACGTGTCTTATTTATTGTTATACTGATACGACGATTGTTTTTGATTACCCAGATGACATTGGATTAATTATGGGTTGTGAGTTGTCATAATCACGCATTAATGAAAATGACTAGTTTATAACTACCAATTACAAACGATCCTTTAGGCATCGTCCGTACTACTCACTTAATCCAACCACCCTGACTTCTCATAGCCCCACAACCGAGGAGAAAGGAGGGTATGAAGCCCCCTTTATTTCCATAAGTTGTTCAAGGCTATCGGGAATGCGAAAGGCGCTTGGCCCGACTCGCATTTGACTTCTCGACTTCATTGGCAGTACCAATGGACCCGTGGGGCCCAACAGCACAATAGAGCTATTGAACGTCCTTTCACATGGAATTAGGTCATGGAAAGCCCAATAACATGTAAGAGCGTTCCCTTCGGGCCTAAAGATCATGTTATTGGGCTAGCAAGGCCCAACAAGCACGATTTGAAACTTTTGATCCCAAAGATTGAATATTGACTCCTCGTAGATTTCACGTGTTTATTGAAGTACTATTGTTTATTGATTTTTGATTTGTTATTGATTCGAGACCGAATCAATTCGTTTGGTAACGATGTTGGTGTTGAAAGTGTATTTGTTATTACGTTTCGCCGGTAGTCGTGGATCTCGTATTTTGTCTTAAGGGGTTTATTTGTTTAAAAGTAAGATTTTACCTTTTCACGACCCTTCTTTGATAAAATTTGCACTTTTAATTCTTTATATAAAAGAATTTCCATTTTAGTCCTCAAACCATTTTTTTTCTCTTGACACTTTAGTACCATAACTTATTGAAAAGACATTTTCAGCCCAAATATACTTTGTAGACAGCTTAAGTCCTTCAAAAATAAAATTTTCTCGGTTGGAACCCCCATTTTCGCAACTTTTACAGTTTTGGCCCAAAATGGAAAAGTTTTGTATTTTTATCCCTTTTGAATTTGAAAAACATTTTTGACCTTTGAAATGGTTTTAATACACTTGAAATCCCCTGTTTTATAGAAAGTTACATTTCCAGCCTCTCAAATTTAAAAATTTCGCAAATTGGAGCTTATTGGGCTGAAAAACCCATTTTAGCCCATTAGGTTCAAAATTTACATTTTAAGCCCCTCAAAAATGTTGATATTCAGAAAAATTGTATTAGAAACTATTTGGACCCTTTTCAACCTCCAGAAATTATAATTTGTCGTTTTGGGCCCTTAGTTTTGTATTTTTGACAATTTAAGCCTTAAAAATGGGTTTTATGTCCAAATATGTTCATCCTAACCAAATGAACTATTTTTCTTGACTTGATTAGTGTAAAATGGTGTAAGTTATGTTTATTTCATCCCTTATGTTATAGATCTCAGTTTTTAGGTACTTTTTGGCTAACATATTCATCACAACACATGATATTACACACAAACATGCATCAAATCACACAAAGCATACATTTACTCATAGATCTACACATTTTCTTCTATTCTCCCCCATAAAAACTCATAAAAACCGAAAGAAAGGGGGTATGAAGCTCACCTTGAGTTGTAGTTTCGGTTTTGAAGAAGATTGGAAGGAGCTTGATGTTGTTTTCGGCCCTAACAAGCCTTCCTTTGATGATTTCGAACTTAGAGGGTTTCTAAGAGAGTGATCATGATTTTGCATGGATTAGAAAGAGATTTTTGATAAAACAAAGAACCTAGATCATAGATCCAAGCATGATCTTACCTTAGATGAAGAATTTGTGGAAATATCTTCTTGAAACACCTTCTAAATTTCGAGAACTTGATGAAGAATGGAGGGAGTTTCCTTGATAGATTTGTGAGAAAAAATGTGTGTGTGTGTGTGCTTGGAATCGGCCGAGAGTAAGAGAGAGAGAGGAGAGAAGAGTGATTTTTGAAGTGAGTTGCATGAAAACATGAGATGGCATGGATGTTTGAAGTGTAATAACCTAGATATCTTCCATGAAAAGATGAGGTGTCATGCAAAAGTCAACTTCTTCTTCTACTTTTGGGCTTGGGCCGAGAATTAGAGAGGAAGAGAAAAGAATTTGGGCCTTGTATGCTTAAGCCTTTTTCATGGTTATGTTAAGTGATGTTTGGTCCAAATAATCATAAATGTGAGTCTTATGACCTATTAGGGCTAAATTAGGTTAATTATGGCCCAAAATGGTTCATATAATTAATTTATTTCATTCTAGGCCCAATATGGCCCAAAATATTGAAATAAATGGAATGGGTCCAATTAGAGCCCATTTAAGAGTTCTAAGCCCAAGGTGGTCAAATTGGAAGCTTATTGGTCCATTGGGCCCAATAAGGAAGTCCTAGTCCAAAATGGATTTAAACAAGAACTTCTAGGGTTTCCAATTGCTTATTGACTACTTGAAATGCTTGCATGGTGTGTTTGATTGAAATTTTGTTGTCATAGATTATGCATCATACATGATCTTATGTCTTTGATTCATAATTTGACTTAAGTGTTGTAGTTACAAGGCACAAAAATTTCTAGTTGTGACAGTTTATGGCAATTAAACCCTACGAGGTTTAAATTTCGGAATTAGGGGAGCATTTCTTCCTCCCTAAGTTTTGAAATTAAAGAAGGGATTTGAAAGCCTTTCCTTACTCCCCAAGATTTCGATTTTGGCA